GAACCGCTGACCTTAAGGTTCGCAGCCCGATTCGTAACCACTACGCTACCAGAGCATACCACATGCCAATTATTAATGGATGCTTGCAACTGTTTCTTCTAACTTTGAGTTGTGCCCCATCAGCAAATGAAGGTCCCAAAAGCTCTACTCTAGTGACATCATTAAGGTCAATGCTACTTTGAGGAGCTTTTCCTGTTATATTTGAGTGCCTTCCCATCAGAGAGGCTCATCTTCTGGCATTTTATCAAGTAATGTTCTGCGGCTATTCGTAAGATTTACAGTGGCAAAGTATTCCTGGTGTGGCGTTGTGGGTTAATGCGTCAGACTGCAAAGTCAGTGGTTGAAGCTCCCCAGCTGCTCCCTGGAAACCCTATACAGGGTCGCTATGAGTCACAATCGAATTGACGACACTTAACAACAACAGCAAGCATTCAGAAGTGGTTCTCTCTTTCCTACTCTGTCTTGGCCTGGATGCTCTGCTGAAACATGTGTACCACAGCCACGCTGCTATTATTTAAAAGACTGGTGGCATAGTTCCAGCATCACAGAAACACACAAGCCAACACAGTACGAAAAACTGACAGAGGAGTGATGGGAATTTACAACAGCATGTCTAAATACATTTAGAAATAAAGTTTATTGCCGTAAATGCAAATATATCTTTAAGGAGATTTAATTTCCTTTTATAGAATTAGAACAAAATATTATTAAACCTTAGGACACCCATGAAAAGCACAATCAAGAAATTTTACTAATAAAAAAGTTGCATTAAAAAACTTTCAGATCATTGTCATATAAAATAGTTTTTGCATATGACAGGAAATTTACATTGTGCTACAATTAAATGGGCGCTGTAGGATAAGCACTGGACTGCTAACTGCAAAGTCAGCGGTTCAAACCCAGCAGACACTCTCCCGAAACCCTACACAGGGTCGGAACGATTCTATGGCGCTTAACAACAACAGCAACAAGGATGACTTCATTTGCTAGACTATTAAACTTTCTTTTAGTTTTCATTTTATCTAATTTGTTTGAGCATGTTTCCAATTAAATGAATTAACAAGAATTCAATCAAATAGGAAAACGATAATAAAAAGACAAAGTTGTTAACACTTAGTTTAAGCCTTTTAAATCCCATATTTATTAGCCAAAGTTAAAACTATAGATGCTTATCTCGATTACAGATGCAAAGCTAGAAAATTAACCAGCACACAGCTAGAAAAAATTTCTCCCTTGTCAGTGCCAACTCTGAATAGGGTTTCCGAGGAGCGGCTGATGAGTTTGAATCGTCCACCTTGTGGTTAGTGCTTACCCTACAGTGCTGCCCAGGCCGGATTCGTGGTGATCTCACTGCGCTGCGCGCGACTGCGAATTTGTTGTGGGGACAGTCCTGGTGTGGCATTGTAGGATCAACACTGGACTGCGAACCACAAGGTCGGCAGTTCAAAATCACCAGTTGCTCCTCGGAAGCCCTATAACAGGGTCGCTATGATTCGGAACTGACTAGACGGCAAGTAACAACCACACAGTCTCACTTCTGGGCGGAGGAGATCCGGGGCGTGATCCAGTCGGACGGCTGAGCTGAGGTACTCGATGCGGTGCCGGGCAGTGGCCGTGAAGAGGTCGTCCGCCTTCGCTATGTCCTCCAGGCTCGGGTCGAAGACCCTCAGGTGAAGGTTGAGCTTCATGTCCGGGGCGAGATGACGTTGGAGCTCCTGTAGCGGGAACACCAGCTTCGTGAGCTGCCTCTTCGGCAGCTCTAGCACCTCTGCAAAGACGTGGGACGTGCTGTAAGCCCGGCTCGCGTGCTCAGTTGTCGCCGGCACCTTAAAGACTGTACCTATCAGGAATCGTAGCCCGGATACCGCCATGTTCCTTTCCCAAAAGCCCTGTCAGAGAAGCGTCCAACTCCCAGTCCTGGGTTGCGCGTGCGTGCTTCCCTCCCGCTTGGCCTTTTGGGAATTGTAGTTTCTGTTGTTGTTAGGTGCCCTTGAGTGATTACCGACTCATAGTGACCCTGTATAGGGTTTCCGAGGAGGGGCTGGTGAGTTTGAACTGCCTACCCTGTGTTCAAACCAACCTTGCGATCCAGTACTGTATCCCACAGCACCACATCAGGACTCCTGTTCCCTTGTTGTTGTTAAGTGCGGTGGAGTCGGTCCCATAGCGACCCTATACAGAGTTTCCCGGGCTGTAAATCTTTACGGGAGCAGAAAGCCTCATCTTTCTCCCGCGAACGGCTGGTAGTTTCGAAC